TTTCAGGAAATTAAATTAATGAAAAGCAAACGACAGGTTCACAGCCCAGTCATTAAGGCTCTTGAATTGCATTTGGCCCGTGTCAGAATATGGATGCAGGCTCAGAGACACCCAGGTAGCTCAGCAGGTGCCTGTTTATCACTGTTATTGTTACAGCACCCATCAGCTCCAGCCAGGGTCAGGTCCTCCCTGTACTCAGCACAATGCAACAGGATGGAGTGACAGCACATTGCAGAGCCTATCTCAAAACGAGGGACCTAGAATTATTTAAAATGGATGAAATTGGCTGATTTTGATGGAATTAGGATGCTGCAGTGGATACAGTAATTTGAACAGTGTGCTTTAAGGGCTCTCGTTGGATCCAAGCTGCCTAAAAATACACACCCACACACTTTTACCTACATCTTTGTGCAAATTGCCAATATACACAGCCCAACATTTTAGCCAACAAAGACCATAATGAATAGTTTCTCATCTGCTCAAAGACAATGAACCTACTTTCCTTCTCCTAATTTAATTATACTACACTCTCCCCTGTGCTTTGTATTTTTACAGCAGTATGAATGCTGTAAGCTGGAGATACCACCATTGATTCTCACAATTTTGTCACAATTCCCATGGTATTTGGTGTTTTGGATTGTTTTTTTTTTTTTCCCCTTAAAGACGTTATTTAACTGAAATTAAAACAAAATAAAAGGTTATACTCCTAGTTCATAAAGTGCTGAGAAAACCCTTGAAAATGCAAAGCCTAAGGACTCAGGAATATAGGAGGCAAACGGGAGAAATCTTCAACAAAATCCTCCTTATTTTTTTTTAAGTCTCAGGATGCTGAATACCTAATTGACAATTTTGAAAGCTTGGGCTTAACAATTCTTCTCGTGATTCTGAAATGAGTAGTTGTCATGTGTTCTCCACAGTGATGGACAGGGCTAGTTCTATGTGTCACCCAGCATCCCAGGACCACCCCTTCTGTCCCCTCCACATGCCACCAGGCTCTGATGCTGAATTAGGTCTGCAGGGGATGGCCCCAGCACACAGGTAGGCACGGGGGGCACAGCTTATTCCTCCTGCATGGGTCTTTCATGCAGGCAATGACAAGGGAAAGCATTATTTTCCAAGGCAAAATAATTGTAAACCCACAAAATTTGGCAGAAAAAAAATCAAAGGAGGCGTTGTACCAGAAACTTATTTTCTGTAAACTAAATATAAAATTGACTCCATCAACTTGAAATTCTCACTTTCTGTTAAATTTCTTAAAATTATTATAAGCTAGGAGTTGGGACAGTTCCACAATTTACCATCAACTACAGCAAGCTGCTTCTGAAAATAAATCCTTGACTACACTGTCTAAGGGATAACAGAAGCAAGAAGCTGAGATACATCCATGAATCATGGCTTGAGTTTTTCAAATTAGCAGAACACAGTGACCCCACAACTATTTTTAGTGTTGTCTACTCCAAAAGCAATTTACGTGTAGATATTATTAGATGCACATTTAATTTCAAACCACAGTCACACAAAGTCTTAATTACTAAATATTAAGATACGTTTTAGCATATGGTTTGCGATTAGCATTTGTAATTCAAGCTATAAACAATACAGCTAATTACATTTATTGGTGGAACTTTACTTCCCACACATGTTCAATCACTTCCAATTATTCTGCCAGTAATTTGTGACCCAGCAAGGTACAGAAGTTGGGTGCCTACGTTGCAGTAGCTGGGTAACAGGTTCTGTGCTTTCAAGACTCGTCCTGTTTTTTCTTAGCATCCCGCAATCACAGATGTGCAAAAATGTAGAACAAAAAGCTGAAAAGGCCAATAAAAATGCTAGATGCTGTGGCATGTATGTGGAAACTGCAGCCAGGCTTTCCTGGTTTGTTTAATGAAAGACTTTCAAACCACAGCCAGATTTTTATGGCGAGGTGAAATCTGCACTGAAGATCAGGTTTGGCCGCCAAAGGTTTGTAAACAGAAACGTGCCTCCTTTTACAGCAATTTCACACGTGATGGTCATATTTGCTCTCTCTTCAGTTTGAGTTTCCCCTCCAAAAAGCTTGCCTGCATCCCAGCACTGCACTTCAGGAACGTGTGGAGCAAAGGGATGAGGCAGAGTAGAGCTGCTCTTCCTCTGCCACCTCCTTTAGCAGACGCCAACAAAGGGGCACCAGGACGTGTCCTGCCCCTCTATGCAGGGCACAAACGAGTCTCTGCTCAGGACCAGGTTTTGCTCTCCTTAATGCAAGGTTTTCACTGAGAGCCTCACACCATGACGAAGGGATGAGCTGGAGGTCTCTGGCTGCCAGCATTCGGGACAGACCTCGCAGCACCAAACATATGAAGTGAATTTAAAAGATATTCATTGAAAACGCAAATGTTTTTGGACTTTTTTGTTTGTTTTCTTCTCCCCTGCAGGCATAATAAAATGCAGAGGTCCCAGGCAGAAACCTCCAGTCCAAATTAAAGCCATATGCTCCACGCTGCTCTCCTGTAAGGGGCAAGGATGCAGAAGGAGCAGCTGTGCAGCAGGTCTCTGGAACTACTGTAACCTACGATCCTATCAATCAGTTGACCCAAAATTCTTGCACAGCTAGAGTGTGGTATGGTTGCTATATGGTGTAGCTGCTCCATCGCCCTCATCATCTCCCCCACACAAAGCAGGCAAGAAAAGTGAAGTGATCAAACATGTATTTGTCACAAGACAGTAATTGCCCATCAGCTGCTCCATTTCTTTTTTTTTTTGGAGCTCTTTGCAATTACTAAGTGCCATATGGAGACAAAGTTGAGGAGAACGGAGATCATGACAAAACCAAATCTTACAAACTCACATTGTGAGAAAACAGTTGAGGGTTTATTTCACTGATACCTGCTTCAGCACATGCATTATTTCGTTACACTGCTTTCTGTGGAGCTTGGATATCAAACCACCCTTACCAAAACCAGGTGTTAATACCCTTTGATTTTTTTTGAAAAACAATCGGGCTACATTAAATATACTTCTCAGGTCTAGTTTTGCATGACAGATCTGTGATGTGCCAATGGTTATATATTATATTCTTCCTCTCAGGCATGCATCTCCTGCAGAGACAGCAGACTACAGAAGCTGACCCTTACTGAGACCATCTTGTCTCTCTGACAAAGCTCCTTTTTAACTTCTTACTTACTGGTTGCTTCCTGCGATGGATAAAAACTTTAGCTCAGCTTGTGATAATTTCACAGGCCCTGAGCACCCTGACCCTGGAAGCCCCAAGGTCAGAAGTCAAGTCTTGTTCTGAAACATCTGTGTGCTTCATATTAAAGTAGAACAAAAGTGAAGAAATATCCACCAGTGTGACAAGAGAAGCAGGCAAAATAGGAATGACACGTTGGTCATCTGTTACCCATGCCACCTCAAGCCATGGACTGAAAAGTGATGGAAATACTGTCCCAGCACTTTGTTTTGCAGACACTGAGAAAGGTCTCCAGTTGATTTCTGTTCCCACCCTGTGATAAGTGTATATTATCTGTGGGCATCCCGAAATCTAGAGAAATCCTGCTAACTTTGGACAGATGAGGCTCACCAGAATAAGCTGCAAAACCACATCTCAGGAAAGCCAAGGGAGAAGAGATGCTCATACCCCTCATCTGAGGAGCAACAGGCAGACGTGACGCGAGCCCAAGCTTTGTTTAAGAGAAGGAATTATTCATCTTCACCAGTTTGGTCTCTTAAAAATTTAGTTCTGAGACTGTTTATTGACCCAGTAATAAAATACCTGTGGAAAATGATCTGCTGAACTGCTCTCTAGTCTCAGAGATGTGCAGGTCATACATATTTTATTTACTCTTCCAGAAGCACAGGGGGAAATCAAAACGGCCTTAATCTCTACAAATGAAAAGGGTTAGCCAAAACTTCAGCTTCTGAAAACAATACTAGTGGTCCTGCTCTGGATTCTTCTTGCTCCTCAGAGCAGCTCAAGATTAAAAACAAGACACTCATGCATGACTTCTCTGAGCTGAGGCATTGTTCAGGCAAGAATCACATTTACTAACTTTCAGTTAGACTAATGTGTTATAGAAAAAAGATCTACATATATGTCTGCTGATTATCTATAAATCCAATTCCAATGTGCTGCAACTTATCTTTTTTTCTTTTTTTTTTTAGCTTTCTTCAGTCCTGATTACATCAGCATTTCCCAATTAGGTGATGAGACTTCAGCTGCACTTACAGGATGGTATTCAACAGGCAACTTCTTCAACAGATTTGCCTTCAGAGAAAAGGATGAAAGATGGACAAATGGGATTTTCAGCAGTGTCAGAACGAGGGCTGCCAGGGCAGTTTTACACTGGCCAGACTTCCTCCCCACTTAAATCACTGCAGGGTTTATTCAGAGCCTAATAAATAGCAAAAAAAAAAAAAAAAAGCACTCCCAGCAAATTCTGCAGACCTTTGCAGAAAAACTGCAAAACTGCACAAAACCTCCAAATTTCCTCTCATATTCAGTTCCAGTCTGTAAACAAAAGGTGAATTTGCTAACGTGACTTTGATTTAAAAGGTTTTTTGTATGTTTTCAGTCTTCAACTCTTCATCTCCAGTCTCTCTCCCCCAGAGCAGAACCTCAATGAGTGCTGTCTTTTGGTACACAGCCTGGACAAGGAGCACCCAAAGCAGTTTGTTTCCCCAGAATCTTTCAGATGCATGGACACTTGGGATATTACTGCCTAACTCAAAACCAGAGAAAAATGCAGTGACCTCCCAGCTGCAAAGAATTCCTCACAGATCTTTATCTGACCTTTGGTTCAAAGATATTCCCAAGTGGCTGCTTCCAAGAAGGGGAATCATAGAATCATGGACAACTCGGTTGAAAAGGTCCCCAAGGATCATCTTGTCTAAATTTTCTTGGGAAAAGGAATCACAACGAATTTAAAACATTTGATAATTTTCACAGTTCTTTGTGATCAGAAGGAACTCAGCAAATCTGTGGAAGATTTCAGGAAAGAAGGCAGTGGAGAAGTCACACTTACCAACTCTACGAAGGCAAGTCCACCATAACTGTGAGCAACAAAAAACACGTTCTCTGCAGCTGACTGGGAAATGAAATGATCCCAAACATAAATTGCATGTTCTTCAGGAGATCCATTATCCTGCAGAAAGAAATAATGCTTGTGACAATTTCATTTTTAAAAACTGGCAATTCTGTCTAAAAGCAACGTTGTGTCTACACGTTAAAATGTTTTGTTACAACAAACCTCAGACGAACACACTCTGGTCTCAAAAAAAGAACAGATTCATTTGTCTATATAAAAGAAATTTAAGATTGTGACTTAAAGGCAGTAAAACTGTTGCTTTATGGCAGCTTATTTTAATAAATACAACAGAAATTATGCATCTGCAAAATTTTGTCTAAATACCATGATGGCAATTGAGCTAAACAGAGGCATTCAACGAAATTATGAGCCACTGCTCTGATTTTCCTTCTTTTGACAACATTTTGTCAAGTGTTTGTTCACTGATGGTTTGTTTAAAGCAGTTAAGCCTTAGTCTGATACAGCAAATAAAAACAAGCGGGAACAATATAAATATAATTTCATTCTTTACACTTTTTTTCCTATTATGGGCCAAGAGAAATCTGCCAAAGATTAAAACGATGGTATTTGAAACTCCTCCTTTCAATGCTGCGTTTTGCAACTGCAGATTAAGATGCAGCACAGTAAAACACTTCTTTTTGCTTCCACATTAGCCACTACTTTGGAGACTCTGGTAGTTAGGGGAGTGGTTTTTCTTATTATTGAACAAGAATTTGTGAACACTGGTCAGTGCCAGAGCTGCTGAAAGCACCGGGGTGATTTATGCTGATTTTAGTGCATTCCTCTCCTACGCTGGGGTTGTGCAGTCCCACCCCTCTACCTCAGAGGCTCTCAGAAAGCCCCGTGCCCCTCTGTACTCCACTTCTTCTCAGGCTGTCTATGTCCTTACTACCAATCTGCCTGGTCTGGGGTGACACGGGTAGGATGCTCTGCTACACCCCCTGCCCCACCAGGATTTCACACCTCCAGCACAACACTGAGGTCGCTTTCCAGGCTCTTCTGTGCCAAAAAGAGCTGAGCAGTCAAGGCCACGTCATTTCCTAAAATTTGCATCCCTTTCCCCTTTCCTCCACCAGCTTCACACCCCTGGGTGACTCAGACGCAGACCACAAAAGCTGCATTTCCTTGAGGAAAATAAAAGCCCAAACCAGCAAAAGCCACTGACAATCAGGGGATGCTAATTACATCGTGTGAATTACTGTAACTTTAACCAGGAACACTGAAGTGATTTAGCTCTTAGTCCCATTCTCCAACTCCAGTTTTGGGAATTTAAGCCCTTAAAAGTGTCTACAATCAATGGGAAGACAGACAAATAAATAATGTGGTGGGTTTAGGCTTTTACTTCTATTCTTGTGCCTGGCTTCCTACGTAAGATTGAGATGCCTACATGTCTTTAAAGGACTGGACCCAAAGCTTTTAAAACAATTACGTGCTTTTAAATCTAAAGGTAGCAGCGATTAAAACATATTTATCAAATTTGCCAAAAAGCACTGAAGTGCTCTGAAGTATTCCTCTTAATCCTGGACAGCTTCTGCTCTTGATTGACTGTGACAGAACTTAGGTTTAACTAATTATGTATCGATGATTGTAAACCACCTCAGCATGAGAATGGGCTTATTTTCTTCCAGCTTATTTTCTTCCAGCCCTGTTTTTGAAATGTGATTGCAGAGATAGGCAAAGAAGGTAAAGACTCCTTCCATTGGTGAGGAAAGAGGGAAGATTTTCAAAAGAATTATCACGAAGAAAACATGATTGACAGACCAGTTATTAAGATAAAGCTGAAGGACAACTTGAACTGGAGCTTCCTAAGGAAAAGTGATGTACTCTAATTACCACACGTATGGAAAAAGGCACATTAAAACACTGGCAGAGTTTTTAAATGACTAGCTAAAGGACTTATTTTAGTTAGGTGTGCAGGAGATATTTGTTTTTAAATAACAATGTCACCCTTCACTCTCTTAACAGGAATTTTTGTACAGGTACATAAACCTGCTTTAACACTCTGACAAGGAGAAGAGGCTGTTTCTGGTTAACTTTGCATTTTCAGGTATTTTGTGTTTATTATTCTACACACTGCTGGGGAAAGCACACCATTTTAGGCTTTCCACAAGACTATGACAGCAGCAAGAAGCTTCTGAAGGATTCAGAAACTCAGCCTGAAAAACTGTCCACCAATTAAAGCATAACCAGTGGTCTAGTAAACCAAATCATTAACTGCACAGCTTCACAGTCCAGCGCAAAGACTCAATAGGATTTTATAAAAGCAAAAAGAAATGAGCTAGAACGAGTTAGATATAGACTGTAACTACAGCTTCCTTTGTGACTGGTGAAAAAAAAAGCCATAAAATGTCAGGATAAACTGCGTTGCTGTACGTACCCTGCTAAACAAGGTAAAAAAAAAGCACATATGTGTGAGAAGGAGTTCGGAGGAGTCGTGTATGTTTAGAAGAAAAGCTCTTTCTTCAGAGCATCTGCTTATTTTTTTCCCCCTCGTAACCAGCCTGTATTTTAAACAACTTGGATGGAGAATAAACCAGGGCCACGTCTGTACAAGAAACATCTGTCTGCAGGACAGGGCTCTGCAGGGCGTCCAGCTGTGCTGGGTCCATCAGGATTAACCACCCGTGCCTGGGTTAAACTGGAAGGCTGGAGGCTGCAGTTTCAGTATGAAAAGTGACCGTTTCAGGGAGTTGTTGCTTTCCTTCTTTCCATTGCAGCTCAACAGAACGCACTGAGGTACCACCTTGTTAAATAATTTGATAAAGGGGGGGCCTCCTGGTCATGCTTTACGTAATTATCTAGGTGAATGTGCAGAAAGGAGTGGAGAAATCACACCATGTACCTCAGGAGGCAGCTGAGGTTGAATGTATTCTCATTTGTGAAACAGAGTGAGATGGAAAAGGTGCTGGGAAAACCAAACTTACATCTCCAGCTGCTGGCAGGAGCCACAGGACAAGGGGTGGTGGTTTGAAATTCAAAGAGGGAGATTTAAGCTACATAGAAAGAAGAATGTTTTGACACTGAGGGTGGTGAGCCCCTGTGCCAGGCTGCCCAGAGAGGTGGTCGCTGCCCCATCCCTGGCACCATCCCAGGGGAGGTTGGCCAGGGCTCTGAGCACCCTGCTCTAGCTGCAGATGTCCCTGCTCCCTGCAGGGGTTGGACTGGATGGACCTTCCCAGGTCCCCTCCCACCCAAACCAGTCTGATTCTATTAAAGCTGGTCACCTGGAACCTGTAACTGTATGTCTAAATAAAGGGTTGGTGCTCTGGAGGTGTGGAAGTTGGAGCTGTGGGTCTCCATCCCTCTGAAAATCTCCCCACTCCAACGTATATAATTAAAAACAAAAGAAAAATACTTAAGAATTACATTATCTGAAAAGGCCTCCACGTGGTGCTTGGCCAAAGCAACCCCCAAAGCAGCCACTGATCAGACTGCTGCAGATCAGGTACCTCCTGACCAGACTCCTGCACTGCAGGTCCCTGGGGCTCGGGTGGGAGATGGAGCAGATGCTCTGAGCACAGAGGGTGCAACCCTCACCTGTGCCCCCATCACCCCAAATCCAACCCACCTCCGTGTTTAACGGGACACCAACAGCAAGATTCACCCTTTAATTCACTAATAAATGAAAAAAAAACATCCACGATGTATTTTCCTAATAACTGTTATATTTTAGGTGTTTCCCCTCAAGAGGAGAGCGACTGCAGCTCATTTGCCATCAATGATAAAGAGGAACACAGAATATAAGTAGTCAGATATTAGGTTCAGCTTCAGGTGCTTGGGTCTAATTAAAAAGATGCTCTTCCCACATGGACACAGTCCCTTTGAGCAGGAAACGTCATCGAGTGCTTGCAAATAAAATGAAATTTTATTTCACAAGGAAGAGATGAATATTCACAAACACAGATTCCTTCTTCTAGTGACAAAAGGCTTTCCCCCATCAGTACTTTTTAAACACCATCTCTTAATGATCTACAAAAATGCCTTACTTTTAAAATAAAAAAATAGCAATTGCTCCAAAAATGATCTTAAATGCTTAATACGGAGCTTTTCATTTTAACATCAAAAGTTTAATTGAATAGTTTAATAGTACAGTCTATGAAAATAATATGACAATGATTAATAAATTAATGTTTCTCATATAGAAAAAGCCATTTAACATCCCAGGGCCAGAACCTCTCCTGCAGCACTCTGCAGCAGGGGAGAGGTTGCTGGTGGTTAGTCTGGTACAGGTTAGGGAATGTCCTGGGCTGCTCCAGCCTCGACAGGCTGGGCTCAGTTTTGGGGGGGCCCTTACACCAAAACCAGCAGATTATGACTATGTTATTTTGGGGTTTATGCAACACGAACAGAAATATCCTTGTATAAAATGCTGCCTCTCATCTTGCTTCCAAAAAAAAACCAAAAAGGTTTTGCTTTGAGACAAACGTCTTGCAGATTTAAAATTTCCTCTGCCACCAAGTCCCTGAAAACCCCAAGTGATTGTAGGTGAATTCTCAGGCCACTCGTCGTGCAGAAAAGTGGAGGAAGGGACCACAGGTTTTAGTCTTGCTGTTTTTCCCCCAGTATGGCCCAGAGTTGAAGGGTATGTGCCACGCTGACGGCTGGAGCCATTAGGAGCAGGCAGATAAGCAGTGTGAATACCACGCTACGTTCTGCTGCATCCAAAAACAGGTCGAATTTACTAATGTAATATCACAGTCATTAATTGTTAAATACCAAGCTGGAGTGATGCAGCAACCCAAGCCTTATCGACTCTGCCAGATTCCAACACCTAGACATTGCAAGGTCTGCAGTTATGATGGACTACCTGAGTTGATAACACATGGAATTATCTAAACAACATTTGCATATTTGTGTAATTATTTCCTAAGGTTAATTAGCTCCTGCAAAGCAGCTTGCCCTTTGAGACTGCTTACTGTGACAGGTTCACATATTTCCTGTTTCAATGCCAAATTTTACTGTGTCTTTTCTTTCTTTCTTTCTTTCTTTTTGTTTTTTTAAAGTAACCTGTTGCTGGGAAGTTAGAGATGGGGCAAGAACTGGAGGTTTGAGCTACT